ATATGTCCATTGTTTAAGACACTACTACTTTCTGTGTTCTTGGTACAGCCATACAGCTTGCTAACTCTGTGAAGTAGTAGTGAACTAAATAGCCAGAAAGCAAAAGACTTCATTACTCAAATATTAAGTGGAAAAAAATTTATATGTGCATATATATGTATATATATATGCACACACACACAAAAAATTCTACAGAATTATATAGTAATCAAAGAAACGGCAGATTATATAAAAGCAAAAAAAAATTATTAGGGAAACAAAAGAAAAAATAGAAAAATCGAGTTTCATGAAAACAAAGGATTAAGAGCATAAATACCAGAGCAATAAAGTAAATTTTGAAAATTAGATGACACCAATTACTAGGTGAATATTTCAAAAGGGAAGAAAAATACCCCATTAAATATAGCTCTGTGTACTTGTAAAAAAGAATAATTCATTTTTCACCTGGTGGAGACTCTTACAGACCTTTGCTATCTGAGAAGGATGATGGCAAATATCTCTGGCAAATCTTTTAAAGGCAGTAGGCATAGTTAACTTGTACTAGTATAACATGGAAAAGTTGGCTAAAGAGATGACTGACGTCACATTGATCATCAGTGTGATCAGTGGCTGTTGAGATGTTCTGTCAACACTGTTGTGTTCTGATTTATATGTTAGTACTGTTTTGTACAGATGTGGTGTTATAGGTCAGAAACAAGGTAAAAGAAAAACCCTACAGCTCTCTGCAAATGAGGAGCCCTCACAGATTAAGCGAGATATTGTCAAGATAGTCATAAGACTGAAGTTAGTGCTTATTTTTAGCAACAGTCTAAGTTCATTACTGAGAAAATGTGGAGATAATACAGGAATCAGCAGACTGTTAAATTGAAGGATAGCAACAATGGGATAAGCAAGGCTGTTCAGCCATTTTCCAATAACAGTATATAATCCAGGACCACAGAAAGATGGACACAACTGCAGAGCATGGACTTTGGACCTGCAGAGGTGTCTGTGCAGAGATTTCAGCAACAACCCTCTGCAGAGAGTGCCAGCTAAAGCTGTGCTGGGCTCTCCAGAACAACAGGACCAGGGACACAGCTTCTCCCTGTGTGACAGTTCTGCTTGGCTTTGGCAGTCAGCACAGAGGCTGTTCGGAAAACAGGAGGATGAGAAACTGAAGACAGCAGAATAGATGCATGCAAGTGATCCTGAAGGCTGAGGAATACACTCTGCAGGTCGATATAGAAGTGTCTTTGAGGTGGTTTGATTGAAATCTCTCCTCCTAGGAAGCACATGCTAGCTATAAAAAGGCACAGAGGAGGAAGGCAGCAGAGTGAATGCTAGCAGCCAATCCTGCACAAATTTCAAGGAGGAACAACTCATTAGTGAAGTACATAAGCCTTCAGGACAAGCTAGGAAGTGGATTTGCTGCCCTCTAAATTCTTCCAATCAAAATCCAATGCCTTTCTTTCAGTAGGTTCATGAGTTTAGCACAGGGACAATTGGATGAAACTTATTCGCATGCGATGTACTAGAGGGAACAACAAATAACCGAGTAGTCTCTTCAGGCCTTAAATTATGTGAATGGACTATGAGGAATTTTCTCACTAGCTGGCAACAGTGGAAGAAGAGCAATCATTTCTAATCATGTCCTTTGAGAAGTCTTAACTCCTTATTTCATATCACCTGAAATACTAATTTGAATAGTGATGGGTAGTGGAGTCCTGGGGACCTATGCTGCACCTGGTTCCAAGTGTGAATTTTTGCCATCTTATTTTACATTGATTACGCTAACAGACTGGTACAGGCAGCTCTCTCTACACATAATTTTTTTTAAGAATTCACAGGTCATGAGGATTTTTCAAGTTTTAGGAAGCTGCTATTGTTTATTCAGTAAATTTGTATTCAGTAGAGTAAAAAAATACTTTGTAAACCAGCAACCAACTAGTATTTTATCTTCTAATTTCTGGCCTCAACTAGGAAAGCAGTCAGCAGGATCAGTTCTAAGACAGGCTGTGTCAACTGTGACAGAAAAATATTATTGGAACTTACTGTTTGGTGAGGTACTTTTTATGAATATATTGAGAACTGCAGAGATGTATGGAATTGGAGGCAATTAATCATAATGACATTGTAAGAGGAAAGAAAAGAAACTGAAAAGAAATTATATTTCTGCAGATAGCTGAAACAAAAGGGCACTGAGGCCTATTAAGCAATGCCTCTTCTTGAACACATCAGTCCTGAATTTGACTCTGGGCTTTTTGCATGGTAAAGGTACCCTACTTCCCTACAATTTTTTGGGAAAATTCAACAAAGATTGAAGGATTTAGAAGGGTTTCTTGGTGAATATATTTATAAGGACAGCTGAAGAATCACATTAGTGATGTTAAACATTGAACTAAGTCTGAAAATTTCAGCATCTGATTCCATTTAAGTGCATTACCATAACATTTAATCTATTCAAGACTTGCATGATTTTTTTTAATATATCTGTATGTATGCAATACATATACACATACCTGCAAATAAAGATAAATGTGCTACAACCAAAGAGGAAAAAAAAGAATAATGAAGTACCTATCAAAATGTACAGGATAAAATTAGTTTTCAGCATGACAGGGGTGTTCTATAGGTCATTTCTACATGTATGTGGAACTTACCTCCAGTGCTGTTGTGCACATACATAAAGCCTGTAACCATAAGGTGGGGTTTCCCTACATTATTTGGGGTCTGTTTGTGTGAACAGGTATGAAATGGTCTCCTGAAAGATTGACAGCAGCCGTATAAAAACATGTTTTTTCAAAAATGTCAGGAATGTTTTGTGGTCTGATATTCTGGTACATTCCATGCTACTGATTCAAAGAAATGCACACAAACAAGAACCCCATCATGCAATTACTTATCTAGGTAAAGTTAAAGGCTTTCTGACATGTTTCCATGCTAATACAGTGGAATTCATAAGAGTTTTTTTGAAGGTAATTGTCAAAAACAGTAAAATAAATGTACATACATGTGTCTGTTGCATCTTCTATGATGTAGCTTTATGCACCCTATGTGGGCACTTTTCCTCTTTTCTATTTGGTTTTCTATACTAGAAATGTCAGGTCCTGGTTTATCCTTACTGTCCTTGGCAGCTTTCGCAGACAATTTGCAAGATAACATCACCTGTACCCAAACCTTGTGATATATTTTTCTTATCATTCTCAAGGACTGACAGAAGGGAATTAAGAGATAGGTTCCCACTCAGTGAAGCCACATGTGTTTCCCATGCACAGAAAGCACAGCTAACTCAGGGGCTTAGGTTGGGTAGAAATGCAAGGTATGTCTGCAAGCACTCCACAGCACCCCAAACAGACACAAAGACAGCTTTTGTCTGAGTGATTTTGGTTATTAGCGCCACTGTGACCATGCTTGCATATGCTGCTGTGGCATACACAGAGGGCCTGAAGCAAGTTTTGCCATAATTGTGCCAGTGCAATCCACGCCTGATTTTTAATGGGTTTCATTAAAATATTGGTGTTTGTAGCAGTATTAGTTGGAGGCTCTGAAAAATAGATTGTATGATCTTTCCAAGCAGTGAGAGGAAAGCAGAATCCTTATTTATGTTTGAGATTGTTTACAACTAAGCAAGCTGCAGTCTTTCTGTTGGGTGCTACCTACAGCATTGTATTGATGGAGTGCTGCTATTGGGAGACCACAGATCCCCAAAATACCAAACAGCCAACATACACTGTCTTCTGGCAGTTTTAGGCACCTGGGAATGTTTGAGGGCATGGCCCATATGCAATAGGCCATTGTTTGCACAGAGACTCGGGCACTGGTCTCTTTAGTGTTGCTATGCTTAACTGAATAAGTCCTCTATTTAGTTTTTGAAATTTACTTATGATTCTATGGCAGAGACTTCAAAGTAATGGGGAGCTTTAAATCAGTGGGTGGTCAGATTTCTGCTTGCTTATCCAATAACTTTCCAAAAGAAAATGTGAAATACTTACATAGGTACAAGGATTTCCTTCTTCCAAGATGAACATGGAAGAATACCAATTCCAAATTTTTCCTTTGTCATTTCTGCCCCAATGAATCTTGACTCTTGTCTTATTGTTGCAGGGCCTCTGAAGAGAGTTGGAAAGGTTTTCATCTCAGTGCCAGGAGATGTGGGTTTGCAATCTGCTATGTACAAAAAAATGAACTAACCCTTCAAAAGTGAGCCACAGAATGAAGAACTGAGCAGACTCATGCCTCTAGAGACAACTTGAAATAGTTAGAAATAGATAACTCTGTCTCTGAAAACTGCAGACTTTCTTGATTTAGCCTGCATAAATTTTCTCAGTAAGTGGGTAAAATGGTGCCTAGTGGCAGAATAATGAATTCACTATGGATCTTCAAAGTTTCAAGTGAGTGCTGTGAAAACTAGGCTGTTTTCTCTCAATCTGAGACAGGTTTTTAATGTAGGTATTCATGGGCCAAAGTAAAGCTCCTCAGTATCAAAAACTTCATTAGACTTTGAAATGTTAACTTCTGGCTCTACTCTTTTTATATAGTTTCCTAAGATTTATTGAACAATGTTCCAAGCTGAAAAATTTACCTGTGTATTCCTGAATATAATAGCTGTGTAATTAGGTAACTGAAACTTTGTAGCACATAGCATTTAGGGTAACTCCCTCATCAATTAAGATGAAAGATCAAGAGCTCTGTGATGGAAGTAATTATTTAAACTATCCATCTTCATGCTTACCTCAAAAAATATGGAGAAAATTGTTTGGGGTTTTTTTGTTTGTTTTGATCATGTGTCAGCTTCTCAATTCTACCTGTCTTCCACAAGAGCTTTTAAATTTGAATTATTTCTGGTAATATACTCCAAGAATAACAAAACTCCTCAAGTTGTATACTTAACTCCATGAGAGATGTGAGAGAGTAATTTTAAGCCAACTAACTGCTTGCTGAATCACTGGTTACCACCTTTGTCAAATTTCTTCAAGCACATTTAATTACTATTATTTTACAGTGATGCAGAGAATTTGCAGGGAAGCTTAGGACATCTCTCAGCTAATGGGACCCATACATGAAATATTGCCCAGAAATGGCTCCAAAGAATTTTCAGCATCAATCAACAAGATAGATGAAGAGAAAGAGAGAAGCAGCACAACTTGCCCACATATGAAGTCAAGAGGTGAGTGACAGAAAAGAAAAAAAAATATTTAATTTATTTCAGATTTGTATGATTAATATGCTGTATTTAAAATCAAACTGAATTGCTCTGTGATGATCAACTAAGTAACAGAGGTAGGATGCTGAGTATTATGAGCTTTACATAACAGCCACCTCTCATCACTCTTTTAAAACATGAACCAATCTCTCTCCAGCACATCCCTGGATGAATAACTGCACTGCTGTCTAAAGGGTGGTAAGCTTGAAACACATAAATGTAGGGGAGGAATAAAAGCCCAAGATTCCATAGGAACTGTTTCCTGCCTCTTGTTTCACTGTGGTTGGCAACAGATCACATACTATCCCTTGCCTGCAGCCTACAATTAAAGTGTTTTTTTAAAAAACTCTCTATTATTAATTGTCAATAAGATGAAAATGTCTATAGAAAAGCCAGTGTCATAGATGAAGACTGGACTTGCCGAAATGCATGAAGCATTATATGATTTAGATTTTATACTGTTCAGCCAGTCACATCTTTCTTCTCCTTTGAGACAGATGCATTTTGAAAGGGCTATATTAAGTAAAAAAAATCTATGTCTTGCCTTAACTCTGAGTTTTATATCCTGTCCTTCCATATGTGTGTGTGTGTGTGTGTGTGTGTGTGTGAGATTACTTTACTAACTGCCAGGAAAACATTCTTTAGGAGTTACACTAAATCTTTTATTTTGCAATCAGTGAGGGGGCATTTCAGATGATATTCAGTGGTATTTAGAATATGGCTTTTGCTGGTCTATCATCTCACCTATTCTGCTCCCAAACAAGAATAATATCTGGATATTCTGGCAAAAGTAGACCACACTTGTGCCACGAAGCAGAAAATGGAACAAAGGAACTGCCTGGCTAAGATTTGGAACTGATGTGGAAAGCTTTTGTGTGAGCTCTAGGGAGGGGAAATACTTTGCTGATATATGTCTCATTTCTACTAAGGGAGTTTTCCAGGATAGTTTGGCTAGTAAATCTCATCTAGGGTGTGTAAGGACAGTGGTGTGGGCTCTGTACTCTTGTCTGGGCTGAAAGTACACAGCCAGCACTTTGGGCTGCAAAGCGATATTGCTATACGACTGTGGGGCTGCCTTCGGCCCCATGAAAGCTGTATCTCAAAAGAATTTACTAATGGGTAAGGACTGGATGTACCAAATGTGCTAGAATGATGGAAGGACAGATAGAAGTAGAAAAGTAACTCACTCTGACTATAATTATTTTTTGTTCATATGGAGATCATGTATGGATTAAGAATCTTTATACCAAAACAAGGTGAACAGAAGAAGTAAAATGAAGGACTATAGGGAGTCTGAAGCCAAGGTAGAACTGTTGCATGAAAATTCAAGACTACTGTGCAGTTGATTTCAATGGAATTAACTCTGTACCTTTTGTATATGGGTCACAGTAAGTTCAGCTGCCAAGACACTCTGCTTTAAGGATGCATGTTGTCCCATTCACATGGCATATTTGTGCAGCTTAAACTGAACATATTCCTCAGGCTTTGCCAAGCCACAACTTTGCTAGGTGGTCTGTCCACCAAGAAAACCATGGTTTTCCATCTTAGGAATTAAACTCTCACCTAGAAGGCTATTGGATGTCCAAATTCTGCTTAGTTTGGTATGCAATGGCACTGTGTTGGTTTAGGTTACTCACATCCTTTTGTTCTGTCTGCTTGTGTTTGGTTTTTGTGTCTTTCCACCACAGTTTGCTGCTGCTTTAGTTGTGCAAGTACAGCTGTTTGTGAAGCTGCCTGGGAAACTGAATCACTGAAGTGAATCCAGTAGAAAAAATAGTGCTCTATAATGAGAGCTTCTTCACACATCTCTTTGGCATTTTGCCCTGTGAAGCCACTGCATTAATGCCCATATAGGTCCTTAAAAGCCACAGAGAAAATGATAAATAATTTAAAAATTTATGTTAAAATTTAATTGGCAATAGAACTGAGACTCCTCAGAGAGCTACACCTACGCTGCAGCAGGAAGTGCAGTAATCGTACTCCAAAGATGACAGCTATATCCTTCTACCTTGAGGACGAGTCTGACCTATTTCCTTTAACAGAGAGAAAGCTCTTCCACCCTTCTTTCTTCGGATTTAAGAATAGAACAGCTTGCACCCAAGAGACATGGGCTTTGCTTCTGAAGACTCAAGTTTGCTATGGCTTTTCTGCCGTGCATTTCTTTTGCCTAGGCATAGAAGGCGCTCTTACACCGCCGTCTGCAGCTGGAAAAGCTGCTTCTGGAGCAACACGCTGTTTCAGCTGTTGGTTTTGGCCGAGCCAAGCAGCCAATGGTTCTGTCCCAGGACACAAAGCAGAGCTGATAACAAATAAGCAAACACATTAATCTGTATTTCTGCAAAGGTAAATACCGCTCTGTGAAGGTAAATAAGGTTATTTGCATTTAGGGAAAGAAAAAGTCCATTGAGAAATACCATTGTAGAAAGCTGTGAGTAGCTCTAACCCATGATGTCTTATCCATGTATTCAATCCTGCCAATCAATCTGTGTTTATTAATAGGTTTTCAGCTGTTCAAGTTGGCTCCTTTGCACTGGTTTGAATTGCCTGAAATTGTTTTGAGAGGCATAAAAGAATGCAATGTAATATGTAGATATAAGTGCACTTGCATATGTGCATGCACATGTATATACATGTGCACAGATATACACGTACATATACATGTATATGTGTATCTGTGTATCCACTGACAAGTGACTCTTCCTTACATTCATGGTGAAAGCAGTAAAAAAATTAAAAGTGAGCTAGAACCAGTTTTGAATCTTGACAGATCTTGATTTGATCTTAACTTATGTGGGTTAGAGAAGCAGGTGATAAGGCACCTCCCACTCTGCCTCCTGGGAACATGCTGAATATGTCTGCAGAGCAGGACATATCCATGAACCAGATCACAGCAATGGAAGATGTACTTAGGGGTTGAATAAAACCAACTCTCCTCTCCTCTCCTCTCCTCTCCTCTCCTCTCCTCTCCTCTCCTCTCCTC